TACCCTAATAGACTTTCTAGTGTGCCCAAGCTCGAAAATTTCTTTAACCACAGAGCCAAAATAATAATTGAAATCGCTTGACATTTCTAAACAAAGATCTCAGCAGTTTTAAGAAGGATTGGATGAGTTTTTCCGACTTACGGGTATGTAGTATTTAAAAAAAACTTCCCGGCTGCCGGGTATCTAGACACAATGTATTTGTTACTCTAGCTATTTCTTCTTCTAAGTTCTGACTAGTTGATAGTACGTGAAATCAGTAAACAGTGATTAGCTAGTTTGCATTTTAGGGCCAATTATTCAATAGCAAGAACATATGCAATGTAAATCAAGCATGTTCATTGTTTTAGGGTATTCAATATCTGAAATCTCTGAGATCTAATGTACTTTCTTCAAAGAAATATTTAGGAATTTTTAGAATACGGATTAGACCGTAAATTGACTAGATGTCAACATGTGTAACAGCAGTGCTCGCTTCTTTCTAAATATTTGCTCCTACTGTGAATTGTCACGCAGTTGAGGGAACATGGCAGATTCACCTCACGTTAAAAAAACTTCTATGCGTAAAATCCCTTGAGACTACACATTTACGAGGAAAAGAGATCTCAGCTTTAGCCTATTACAAAGTTGCAAAAGTCAAGGCGAGAGGAACGAGGAAAAATAAGCTTAATTAAGACTTATGAAGCTGCTACATATTGAAACAAATATTAGTCTACCACTGACATATATTTCAAGTACAAGTATCAAATCTTAACTTACCGCTCGTCCGAAGTAAACAGAACAACGAAAATGCCACAAACAAAGCGACCTTCATGTTTTCTTTTCTGTGTACGTAAAACAAGACACTTCAAATGTCTTCAGTAAGTAAGCGTTGCTTCGCACACCTCGGTCAATACCGAATATTAATGAAAAATTTTCCTCGCAGGCGTTGGATTAGTGCAAAGCTTCAAGAGGGCGAGGGGTGGGTGGATAAATTAAACACCTCCGTGTTTCTTTTCACGTTTGTTTTATCTGTTTGTTTGTGTTTTTCTTTCAATCAGATAGCCTTCCTGTATCGATAGAACCTATCCAAATAAGGACAGATGTGGTTTCGCTCGCATGCTTTAAATCTGTGATTCCCACTCCTCCCTCTACCCCCACCCTGAAAGGGAAAACACAAACTGACGTCATCTACGGTGAAACGTGCTTCTTCAGCAGTTCTCCACGGTTACTTGAAATATTTTTTCCTGTTTCGTTGGACCACGCGATGCATGAAATGAGAGGCCTTCTGCCAATACTAACCAAGGCGAAAATTTTATAAGTGATTTATTTTACCTTTTAAATTATAAAGACCGTCTCAGGACCTCGGAGGGTCGCGCAATTCGTTGTGGTGAAATATTGCGTGACGGGTCAAATGATCGCATGGGCGGAGCCTGCAGTTTATCAAATCGAGGAGCCTGTAGCCCTTCTAGGGACCAAAAACGTGATGATTGAACAATATAAGAAAATGCTGTAAGTTGCTTTTTGCGCACAGAGCAGAGAGGGGCTGGATTTTCCATTTCAGAACCCTTGGTAAGGGGGGGGGGGGGGGGGGGGGGGTGGGCGGCCTAATCGACCTGTGCAATTCTAGAGTTTGTTCCATAGGCCACATTCGATATATCATCATTCTAGCATGGCTCCGAGGTCTTCAGGATAAACCTCTACATTTGGTGGTGTTTTCTTTGTATGCAAGTCTCTTTTGGGAACTGAAGGACAAAAGAAACTTTAAAAATTTGCAATTTTGACCCGAAAGCGTCGGCGCCATATATCGAACGTGGCGTATTCTCGACGAGAATAAATAATAATATCTGGAAAATATTTCGCATCTTTCAATCTCTTGCCGAAACATACACTTACGACAATGCTTGTATAGATATTTTGAATTAAAATTCAATGTTTCTTTACAATCCTTCATTGCTACGTGACGATAAAACGGCAAATAATTGTAAATCGTATTTTACATTTCCAAAAACAAACAATGCACCGCTTAATGTGTATGGAACTTGAAATTTTAATTAAAATCGTATCAAGCTTCCCAACCTATCAGTGAAAAATTAGGCAAGATTTACCTTCCGAGAAAAACAAACAATGTACCGGCAACACGACGCACGAAAGTCGGATATCGTAACTGTTTAAGTCAGTAATAGGGGTTAATTTTTTTTTTTTTGACTAAAACTTTCAAATGCTATTTAGTGCATCTAATATTGTATGTGAGAAAAACTTCTCGATACTTTGTATTCAGCTGTGATGCAATTTCATTTTTGCTTCCGATTGTGGAAGTTACATGTTGGCTTTCTACGGGCTGTAGAAGAGATAAGAAGTTTTCAAACAATCAGGGAAGGGTTTAAATCCGCATTATGTTATTAAAAGGAAAATAGTTGAGATAAACGAAGAATGACAATTTTGCCTGAAAGTCGAAATCGTAAACTACTGCTCTTCGGTTAGAATGGGATTGTACTCACCCTCGAGTCTTTTAAATACTATTTATTCAGCTTAGGAGCGAAAGTCTGAAACTTGTCACAAATAAAGGAGAATTTTCTGTCACAAACCCAACCTAAACCATCAGAAATGATAATGTATTTAAGTTAATCGAAAGAGACGAGCGTATTGCCCAAATTTACTCACCATTGGGTCTGAAAACGAACACGACATGTGAACGGTGACGAAGATAATGAAGACTATGGAAACCATTGTTATGGATACTTGTGTGAGAGCAAAATATGACGGTGAGGGCTTGAACGGTGCTTTTAAACATTGTTGTTTCGCTCAACGCGCGGCGGAAAAGCGTCGTGGTCTATGATTGGCTTAAATCCTCGTGACGTCACGATATTTGATTGTTTCCCTTGCAATGGCATCACTTGACATTTGAAAAATGGTTCTTCAACCACTTCGTTTACAGCTAAGCAATACAACAGACCGAGAGCAATATCAATTCCGAGGTATATTTGTGGATAGGATAGTTGACTTATTACGGGTTAAATAAAATTAGCTCCATTCTACCGTATCCGGAAACAGCTTCATCTCGCTCACCAGCACAGGACAGTTACGGTCCAAAAGAACAACTTAGTTTATATTTAAACAGAAACCTTCAACTAATTATTCTTATTTTGTGTTGTATCACACTTCTACTAAAAGATCTGTCCACAGTAAGTTTTTTTTGTTACAGGCAACAATACAAACATGGACAATAAGATGTAAACAAGCAAGGTGAAGTCACTTTAACGAGAGAAAGAGAGTGTGAAAAACGAAATAACAACGGAAAACAAAAGAGTTAACTGTGGCTGTTACGTTTCCATTCTCAAGCAGATTGGTCTGACACTTTGATTGACAGTGCTTTAAAATGGGTTTAGAATAAAGTTGACTCCCTTTCAATCCAAAGCTGTCGAAAATTACAGTTCGTTCGGCTCCGTGAGTGGTCAGTTACGACGCAAAAGGAATGGAAAACAAAAGGAAAAGAAAAGAAAGGAAATTTCCATTTGGATTGACAAAAGGGCTTTATAGTAAACACTAATTTGTTTACTTAGCTGGACGTTTGTTCAAAGAATCGAATATCTGAAATGTTGGTGTCGTAAAAGCTGAACAATATAAGATTATTACAGACTGAATTTTTGTTACAAAGGTTTTTCAAAGTCAACACCGTCTACTATAGTTCAGTTACAACTCTATTATTTGTTCATTGCCCTCTGTTCCTCTTTGAGACAACAACAGACTCAGCTAGCTATAGTTTACAATGAGAGACGGTTTAGAAAAGTCGCCGCATTACTAGCGGTTGTATTACAGTCTTGCGAAAATTATTCCCGAAATGTTACTTATTGTGCAAGTTTTTTATCCCCGGCCGGGGGTTCGATGTTCATTGCGGCTTATTGCATCACACCGGTAAAATATTCCCCGGGAGGGAAAAAAAAAAATCCCCTTAATTTTACTCTGAAGACGAAGTTCTTTTATGGTATACTGTATAAAGAAGACTGAGAAGGTAACTCGGCCCTGATTTCGGTTGTTTTGAACTGTATGTTGCGTTGTTTTTAACTTTTCGTTTTATCAACTTTTCCGCGATATTAAACATATGGTAGAGATGAGTATTAAACAATGCAGTAATTCCGACCTGCTTACTTGTTAAAACTCACAAAAATTGCTTCCTCGTAGGAAATGTGAAGCGCAAAAACAAGAAAAAAAAGAAAGTGCTTCTTAAAATTAAACTCATGTAAACATTTTGTTCTACCCTCCATCGTTAACCAGAAAACCGGTCAGAAGTTGACTTGATTCTCAAAATTATTTCTCGACGGAAAAAGTTCCCAGAAGACCACTTTTCCAGTGAAAGTTTCTTGGATACGACATTTATACCTAATATAACAAATTGGCTGAGCTGGGTTTCTGTTAATGCATACCTAATCTCGAAAACTGACTGCAATTAAGATTTTCTCCGCTTCATCAACGTTCAGCTAAGTATCGAAAGTTACAAAAGTATTATTGACACAGTTTCAGTGTTCGTCAGTGGGAAATAAGGGCGGTTAAACCGCCCGGTGATCAATATATTTTCGATATTTTTTTAGGATCGCAGGGATTAAAAAGTTTTATCAGCCAGTGGTTTCTTTGCATTCCGCTGTTCTTTTTCCTGTTAAGTTGAATTCAAAATGTTTTCAAAGCTAGTTTTCATATTTCAAATTGTACCGGATGCCACAAACCTTTCCGGGATAGCATTATTACGTAATCGATGCTTTTATAGGTTTTAAATGTTTTGTTTTGCCATTAGACAATGATTAGAAATATGTTAAATCGAAGAAGAACGCAACTGAAAGATCCTTGGTAGTAATTCGCCATTAGCCAATCAGAAGCCGTGCCTACTGTCCTGATATCCTGAGAAATGACGTCACTGACTTGATATGGCTACGATATCCCATTTGGGTATGGTAAATACTTATGTCGTACCCGTTTTTGGTGTACTTCGGCGGCATATCAGACGCGTATGGGTCTTTTGGGTCAACCATGTCTCGCCAAAATACGAACCATGGCGAGACCAAACTCGCCGGATATGTCGACGACGATTTAATAGGTATAAATATTGGTCATAAGTGTCACGTTTTTTCCGCATTTTCGGACTCGATTATTTGGCAGATAAAGCATCAGACACGAAATGGCTTACTTAATTAAGACCTGCCCAGAACAATAAAGCAAAAGTGTGCAATAATCAGCTTCTCTTGCAAGTAAAAAAAAAAAAGAAAAATTATAATAACCCATAGATCTGAAAATTGATCAAGTTGAAATATCTGAACCGTTGAATTCGAATCTTGCCCGGAAGGAAGAGGAAACCTTTTCTAGTTGAAATTCGTGCTCAGATTCTCGGTAAAACAAAAAGAATTTAAAGTCTAGCTAAATATTTGTGCGGGGATTATTTAGTGCCATTGTGAGTCCCTGAGGGATAAAACTCTCACCAGAGCAACAGATCCTTTCAACCTTTTCAATAACTTTTCTAAGAAAATGAGGATTAAATTGACAATTTTAGAGTAAAACAGTACACAAAAATTTGTGGAATTTTTGGTGTTGGTGGTAAAAGCCTGGAGTAAGATTTTCGTCTATACAAAACGCGATTCTTCAAAAATCACTGTTTCTCGAAGTGGTGAACCGTTAAAACACGCGCCGCTCTTGAATAAGTCAATGACTGCTTTGTTCCTTCTGTTGGAATGCCATGGTTATCAAAACATCGCAACAGCGTTGGCAAACTTTGATTATTTTGTTTAAGCAGAACAATTTCTGAAACTTCCGCTGGAAGTAAAAGTTGCAGTTAACAGGATGTCCGCATAGTGAGAGTTTGGCGGACTGAAAAAAAAACGCCCCTGATGTCCCTGAAAGAGTTTACAATGCATTATCAACTTAAAAAACACAACGTTAATGGTGAAGATCACACTTTTATTTTAAGTCTTGTTCTGGGATATAAGGCACTGACCGATGACAAACTAGATATACGTCTAATGATATACAACAGTAAAGATAGAATGCTCTTTTTCAAAGGAAACCGTGCGCGTTACATATTTTCACGAAACCTATTAATCAATATTGTGTCCTTTGCCTTAAAAATCACCCCTACTTCCCTTCACCGAAAATATATATTTAATTGTTTCACTTTGAAGTTTTCATTTTTGACCTCCACTTCACTTAGTACTCACGGAAGTGTCTATACAGGTGCAGTTGTACTTCAGGAAGGAGGTGCCAGCAGGGCATGCTGGTAATGGCTTTGGACACTCACACTCACATTTGGATTTGTTGAGCACTTTGCCCTTGCGATTACAGCGATCTTTTATTTTTTCCCTGCAGTCGCAGTCACAGATGTCTCGGTTCCATTCTTCATTATTATTGCGGCTGTCGCAATGCTTCGGTGCGCTGTTGCACTCACACTGGCAGGTCTTGTCGTTGAACCACTGTATACTGGTGTTACACGACTTGCTCAAGGCTTGTTTGCATTTACATTCGCAGGTCCCGTTTAAGTAGTCGTGGACGGCTGTGTTGCAGTCAGACTTGCGAGTTCTGCATGCGCATCCGCACTTTGTGTGATTATAGACTGTGATGTCTTTGATTGATGTGTTGGGAGGATTGGAATTTGTTATTTCAATCACCTTCAGCATAACCTCCTCCTGTTCCATGACTGTACAGTTCTGAATGTTGTGCTTTCCTAAACATTCACCCACGCAACGGTGAAGCAGCACTATTGAGGGTATAAGTTTAACGCTATCATCCGGCCAGTCCAATTCAACCATAGTCGGGTACGGGTCGGCGCACGCATGCTGTGTAGCCAGTGCTACCGTATTTTTCTTATCCCCTGATCATGTAAACAAAAAAAGAGGTTAAATAATCATTCTTTTGTTCCTTAAGTTTTTTCCCTAACACAATTTCTGTAAAAAAGTTGAATAGCCTACCTGCATAATTATACTCTATAAGCATTTACAAGCATTAAGTGACTATGTGCATAAGTAATGATAAATTAATGTTTAAATGATAGTAATGTGTATATTCTAGGCAATTCCTACTCTACATTTCCCTCTTTTTAACAGAGGAAAGAATAAATGTCGTCGAACTGGCCATTGAACTAGTTTTCCTTCTTCTCCTTCTTTTTCTTCATGTCGTTTTCTCTCCCATAATGCGAATACTCCAACAAAGACCACCCGATAAAATTTTTGTACAAATTTAACGAAAAAAACCCTTGGACGTTAATAGCTTTTCAACAAATTATTGCACATTACAAAGGCAATTTATGGTCATGTTTATTCGTTTTACACTTTAATGTCATTGGTCAATTTGCCAAAATTTGCTTGGTTAGCCTAATGGGAAGTACTCTCACTGTAACGATTTTTTTGTGAGTTGAATGAAATTGTCTTAGCATTGACTTAATTGCTCAGTGGCATAGCCAATCCCAGGTTACCCTGAGCAGAGAGGCACTATGAAACGGTTGAAGGTCTTGTTCATAAACGCACGAGGGAAAGGCCGATGACAAGACGGAAAGACGGAAGAGTTTTCGTAATAGCCAACTGGAGCCATAATCAGGCATGGACACTGTAAGGTGGGAACCGTTCTTGGAGTGGTGGAACAAATTGCATTGTCCTTATAATTTGCATTTTTTTTTTGCGAAAATAGGTTCACAGTACTTATAACTTCTGTATTGTTCTTCCCTGTTCTGGAATGATTGATTAGAATATTTCTAAATCAATGTTAGGCTTCCAAGCAGGCTCCTTGAAAAAAAAGTCGCCCACATTCATAACTTAGTTGCGACCGATGACCGGACTTCTGTCAGTCAGCAACCTTGATTTTATTTGTCTGTATTTGCGAATAAAGTTCTTAAAGTTACATCGATAGAAAATTAAATTTTACAGTCATTGCTACCTCGCATGCGTTGGTGTACTAAAGAGAATGTAAGGTGTTGTGTGTTTTTTGTTTCATAACTAAATGTAGCTGTATTTTGTCTGAGGAAGCAAAGAATACGACAGAGAATTCTGATGAGAGCTAACAGATTTTTCTCTCTGTTTTCTAGAATGTCTTGTAGTGTCATCCCAAAGCTTTATGCCTTAATAAACGGCACGCAATGCATGCAGAAGCGATGACGTTTAAAAATTAAAATTGTTCCTAGAAGATTGGAACATGAGCAGACAAACGGATTCTTAAACTTTTAGGTTAGACATTTTAGGGGTTTACATTTAGGGTAGTCCATTGGTGGTTCATTCAAGTAGTTCATGTACCAGGTCCATCTTGTTAGTCCATGNGCGCTCATCTCCGGATCGAGCGGTCCGGGTTTGAGCCCTGGCCGGGGACATTGTGTTGTGTTCTTGGACACTTTACTCTCACATTGCCTCTCTCCACCCGGGTGCACAAATAAGTACCGGCGAACTTAATGCTGGGGGTAACCCAGCGATGGACTACCACCCCTTCCAGGGAGAAAATACTTCTAGTCACTTCATGTTGCGCAAATCGGGATAAGCTCCGGCCTCATGAGCCAGTTGGTTCGTATACAGACTTTATTGCTTACGTGACTTTAAAGACATTTATCTTACATTTAGCAGTAGTAGTCCCTTGAGGAGATGCAGCCACGTCACAGATAATAGATGTAGCTGTAATGGCGTCATCTAGCGCGACTCTTTTCAAATCGTCGGCAAATGCAAAGTCCTGCAAACAAATATATTGCTTATATGCTGTTAAATTGTCTTCAACGTGTTAGCGCTAAAAATGATAAACAAAATATGAAATTACATGAGGTAGTTTCAACTTTTGGTGCACATACAATGATTCTATTCAAACGTTAAAATACCCTGCAAGTATTTAGCCCGATGTAATCTTGCTTATTCTTGCTTTTT